CAGGTCTGTTGTGAGATAGGAACTCACTGAAGACAATGGTGTACGGTAGCGCAACTTCGTGGATTGGTTGAAGTTAGACATTAACACCGTTGGATGCCGGCTCAGTGGTCTAATGGTTAAGTGCTCGCGCGCGAAGCCAGTAGGTCCTGGGTTCGAGCCCCGGGTGGTGCGGGGTCGTGGATGCGCACTGCTGAGGAGTCCCATACCAGGACGAAACGGCCGCCCAGTGCTTCCAGGTTTTCAATGGTGGTCTAGCTTCAACTGACTCATGAGTTCAATCTGTGAAGATGACCAATATATCGGAATTCTCTGATCTAATCTGGCTAGCGATTGAGGTTGATGTTGAGCACGGCGTTACCAAACCCAACGAGTTTGTCGTTGGTAAACATTCTTCTGATAGCTTACTAAATTTAGCAGCGTCTGGTCGTCTTTCCTTACTATATGGGACGGAGGTACAACATAGTAAAAAAAGAAAATGTACAATGAAAATTTCGGATCCTCGTAAACTGCATCGTTCTTTTCCAGCCGTCCTGGAAAAGAAAAAAGAAAATGTAAGTGCATGTCGAAAATACACTCGTATGTGCGTAAAAACACAATGTCGGCGGAAAAAAAGGAAAAAAAACTCATGAACACGTAATAGCGTTAAAAAAATTGTTTTTTTGTTTGTTTTTTTTTAAATAGAAATAAAAATATATAAGCAAATTGAAATTGTTTTTTTTAAAAATATAATATGAAATGTCGAAAAGTGCCTTACGTGCAATAGTCGTCTAAATGTTCTGGAAATCTCACCCTTCTTCCAGAACGCGTCGTTTTAGGTTTATTTTCGGATACTGTCGAAGTATCATCGCGTGTGTTGGTTGTCGGATGAGGTATTATAAGTGTCGGAGTCATGTCGTTCGATTGTACCGAAGGAAAATCCACGTAGATAGGATTTCCTTCTAAATACGCTGCTTTTAAGCGATCGATGCTGATGCTATCGTTGGTTCCGTTCTTATCCACTATATAGTACTTAGATTCACGTTGAAGAACTTTGAAGGGCCCTTCGTATGCTGATTCGAATGGTCGTCGATGCGAGTCTCGACGAACGAAAACGTGTGTACTATATCGTAAGTCAGGTTGAACGAAAACATCAGTTGATTGAGGTCGAGTGGAAGCAGGTTTAACTGAACGCATTGCGTTTGTAAGCCTGTTCGTGTAGGAGGTTAGATCCATGTTCATCGAAGAGCACGAAGGATCCACGAATTCTCCTGAAAGTCGAAGTGTCGTTTCATAAACGAGTTGAGCCGCAGTGTATCCAATGTCAGCTTTCACTGCATTGCGGATACCTAGTAAGACGAGTGGAAGAGCGTCGGTCCACTGTGAAACGTTTGCAGCTGATAGCGAAGCTTTCAGTTGTCGGTGAAAACGTTCTACCAACCCGTTTGCTTGTGGATGGTAGGCGGTCGTTCGGAAGCGAGTGCTTCCTAGTAGTGTGGTCAGACGACGGAAAAGTTCAGATTCAAACTGACGTCCGCGGTCTGTAGTGATGGTTGAGGGGCAGCCGAAGTTTGCTACCCATCGTTCGACGAAGGTGCGGGCCACTGTTTCAGCAGTGATGTCCTTGATGGTTGCACGAACACCTGGATGAGAAAGTTCGTGCAATGTATTGAAGACATTGCGTCGATAACGTTTCGGCACGATTGGGCGATCCCTACCTGTAGATGTGTCACAAAGTAAGGTTTCCTTACCTGTTCCCATCTGTTTGATGCGTAGTTTAAGTGTTGTGGGCGATAACTCGTGCTGAAGATCAGTGTCTTCTTTTTGATGCTCGGCGAGTTTAAGAAGGTCGATTCCTTGGAAACTGTTCAAGGAAGTTATGCGAGATAAGGCGTCTGCGACTACATTGTTTGCTCCAGAGATGTGTTGAATATCTGAAGTAAACTGCGAAATGTAGTCCAGTTGTCGAGACTCACGGGGAGAGTACTTGTCCGAAGGAGAGCTTAACGAGAAAGTGAGCGGTTTATGGTCCGTGAAAAGAGTGAATTCACGACCTTCGACGTAGTGTTGGAAATGCCGTACAGCACAATACATAGCTAGGAGTTCCCTACCGAATGTGCTGTACCTCGATTCGGTGTCTAGCAACCTTCTAGAGAAAAATGCCAAGGGTTGCCAGGAGTTGTTAACCCATTGTTGTAAGACTCCTCCGATTGCTGAGTCGGATGCGTCTACTGCGATACTAATGAGTGCTTCGGTGTCCTGATGTGCGACCATTGTTGCTTTAGCAATCAGTTCCTTATCTGTGGAGAATGCTATTCGTGCGGTGTCGTCCAAACTAATGGATTTCGCAGTTCCACGAAGTTGGTCGGTCAGAGGTTTCATAAGTAATGCGCATTTGGGTATGAAACGTCTATAGAAACTTACCAGGCCGTTAAACGTGCGTATTTGCTTGACGGTGGTCGGTTCTGGGTAATCCATGTTTTTGTAATCGTTCGAAAACAAGGTCCAGATGCTTGAGATGTGTTTCTCTGTCCGGACTTGCGATTAGACAGTCGTCAACATACGCGTGTACGAAGTTGAGACCTCGAAAAACGTCGTCTATGAATCTTTGGAATGTTTGAGCAGCATTCCTTAGACCGAAAGGCATTCGCAAAAATTCATAGAGTCCGAAGGGAGTTATGATAGCGGTTTTCGGTATGTCGTCAGTAGCCATAGGGATTTGGTTATACGCTTTAACCAAGTCGATTTTCGAAAAGACAGTTGTACCTTTCAAGGTAGCTGTCAAATCGTGAATGTGAGGCAACGGGTAACGATCGGGAATGGTTTTCGCGTTCAATCGCCGATAGTCACCAGTTGGACGCCAATCGTTGCTGTCCTTTTTAGGGACCATGTGCAACGGAGATGCATATGGGCTACTTGACGGTCGTATGATTCCTAAGTCCATCATGTGATCGAATTCGTTTTTCGCTAACCTTAGCTTTTCAGGAGCTAGTCGTCGTGCTTTAGAGAATACAGGTGGTCCTGTAGTCGTGATGTGATGTGTAACATTGCTGGTTACACACGGTAGTTTCGGTTGAGTTTGTTGTATCCCAGGGTACTTATCGAGTAGTGGTTGATAGAGTGGGTCTATCATATGTTTAACTGTGACTGGGGATACTCTACAACCAGTAAAAGAAGTTACGCAAACGGACAAATTAGTGTTTCCGTCTACTAGCCTCCGTTTGCGAGTGTCGATGATCAGATTGTGGTGTTGTAGAAGGTCCATACCAATGATTGGCATAGAAACATCTGCAACGACGAAAATCCAGTGGATGGGTTTGCGTAAACCCACGTTAAGGTAAACGTACCTTTTGCCATACGTAGCGATCGGTTTTCCGTTTGCCGCCTGTAAGTTTAGGGTCGATTCGTGAAGTCGGTCGTTAGGATTTGCTGGGAGAACGCTAACTTCTGCGCCAGTGTCGACGAGGTAGCGAACTCTCGTTGTCACATCTGTGACGAATAACAGACGGCTTTGTTCGCCGGCTACGGTTGCCGTTAACGCGTGCCGGCTTGGAAGTTTCCCGAATTGTTTTTCGAATCAGTCGGTTTCGTGTTGGGAAAATTGCAGGGTTTTCTGCAATTTCTGGAAAACTTTCCATACTGGTTATGATACCAGCACCAGTCGGGGTTATCTGTCTCTCGTGGTCTAGAGACAGATCGCTTACGAGAAATGCTTCTACGTGGTGTGCGCGATCTCTTACGGTCGGTACGAAGACTAAGATAACGCGTGAGTGTGTGACATAAGTCGGTTATATCATTCTGAGTCGTGTGAGGCTTTTCTTTGACTGAAAATACCTCGGTAGAAGGTTTCGTAATTTCTAGAATGCGGTCGGCAGATGCAGCTAGTTCGTCTAAGGCGTTGTTCTGGAACGAGACCAGAACTGCTTGCACCTGTTGGGGAAGTTTTGACAAGAAGAGTTGTAGCAAAACCAGGCTTCGATGTTGTCGGGCCAGAAAGGCATCAGTTGAAACGAAGGTGGGGAAAAGGTCTTAAGCTTGAGTACTTTAGGTGTCTGTTCAGTCATGATGAAATATGAAGTACAATAATGAACGAGGGGAAAAAATATATATATCCAAGAAAAAATACGAAAAAAATCACAATGTTTAAAAAAAATAAAAAATAAGGCAGTGATATATAAAAATCCCAAAAAGGAACAGACTCACAGTTGCAATAAGATGTACCAGATCACGACGGTCTCACCAATGATAATGTCACAGGTATTCAGTGTTTGACAACGCTTCTACCAGTAACACCTTCTAATATATTTCGTCCCCACCAAGAGAAATCAAAAGACAGAGTCGAGGAGATCGGAAGAGTATATTTGGCGATGACCAATATATCGGAATTCTCTGATCTAATCTGGCTAGCGATTGAGGTTGATGTTGAGCACGGCGTTACCACACGTGATCTGGTGCGGATGCCTGACCGAGCGCCTTCAGCTAGATGAGTCCACTAAAATATGTGGTCAGCATCCAATGTCGAAAACTTACAGGGCTATTTATTTTGGGGATTTATTTAGCGCTACACTTGACGCTTGATTGGCATCAGATATACCTGAGTTTATTTTGTATTCAAAAAAAGGAACTTCACGAAGACGCTTTGAAAATTTTTACGAGCCCAGAACAAGTTACTACTGGTCTTATTGTCCTTTCCAGACTGAAACTGAAAGCATAGAGAATTTTCCCTGGATTCGAATATAAACTTACTGGACTTTACATCACGTATGCCAGCTACCGAAGATAGTGAAGAACTGAGGCCCGTTTAACGTCGGCATCTGATTCGCTATTCACACAGCTGCATACTGCCTTCATGTAACTGGGATAGATTTTCAGACTATTGGTCTTGTGAGCCCCTGATTTATTGAAAATAATAAGCGAAAGAAGACACAACTAGATGTCTGGTAATGATAATTGTTATTATACTAAATTCCTTTATTTGAAGAAGTTACTAATAGAGTATTGAATATTGCAGCATATTATTTGTTGTTTAATCTGGTCATTGCTCAGCAACGCAATTATTCATCAGTCCAACTTCAATTTAGCTTTTAGTAGTTTACAATTGGTCTGAAACAGATTATTCTAATCTGATCACTCGTTATAATTAACTTCGCTATGGATATCCTTCTTGAAACAAGCTTTCCTCTGAATTTTCAGTTGTTCTTTTAATAGGAGGTATACCAAATCTGATTGGTTCGTCCATAAATTATGGTCTCGATTTGCTCTTTGATCAAAGTTGTATTACTATATGGCTTTGAAACATGGACTTTGAAAGTATAAAGTATGAGTAGGCCACAGATTTTTGACCGTATCTTTGAAAAACTTTTCAGGTTTCGAGAAACGATCGAGTGAATGTTTTTCAAGTCAGCCATAGGCATTTAGGCTTAAATAGAAAATCATTCGGTAAGATTGTAAGTCTTTATATACCGTGGTTGATAGGACATTTTACTAGCACATTTAAGCCTCCATGATCTTGTTTCAGGATGCTTGTATGTGTAGAGTCAGGTTTAAAGATGTCTGTGAGAATCCAAACGGAAATGTAGCATGGATTCATAAGTTTACTAACTTTAATCAGCCGTGTTATCAGAGACAGAAAACTTGGTTGAGGTGTGAGTAATAATCATGTTAATTATTTGGAGATTTTTGGTGACATAGCCCAAAATCGTTTGAATTGGCACATATGCATTGAATTTATATGTCTTTTGATCCTAGATTCAGTTATCCGTTCTACTTCGTCCTGTTGGACCATATTCTTGATGTTGGATTGTTCTCATGATCTCTATCTCGATCACTTTCATACTGCCCTACTAGTTTTATTGTAGCATGGAAAATTGGTATAATGTACGTTTCCATCAGACACTATTTACATTTCACTGACTGATCACTACACTACAGTTACGTTCCACTATGTGAAACTGTGAATAATTCTACACTTATTGTTTGAAAGTTGTCTTATGTTTCTGTATAAAAGTAAACAGAAAAGACTCCATCATGAAAGGTCTTCCACTAGTCGGGGTCATTAGCTTATTTTACTAGATTGACGTTTATTCATTTGTTTCAATTCTTATTTCTAAATAGCTATTATCAGTCTCTATCATTCAATTTTAGGTTTAGCCTCATTTACATAATAATGAGATCAAAATCAAGACACAATTTAGTATCTTCAAGTGTTATGGTAGTGTATTGCCTGAAATATTCTACCTCTTAAGACAACTTTTACACCTGATTTTAAGTATTGAATTAGTTAGTTTTGTCATATTTTGTGATTAAACACAATGACTTTAACAGACTTGCCTATATCACAGTGTTAAATCATCCCATCGTTTACCACGACGCGCAATACTGACAAGTGTTGGAAGAAAGTTAAGGGCGGTCAAATCAAAACGTGGCTTCAGTCCTTGGAGTCACTAACTTCTGATGTGATCCATGTTGGTAGGTGCAGACTGCTTGAATGAGGTCGACGTGACCATCATAACCAGTGGCTGCAGACTCCTGAAGACATGGCTCAGAATAGATTACAATTGTGTGGGTGTATACACCCTTTATCTGCCCTTAAACGTTGAGGTTAAAATCGCTTCATACCTTTCTTTTTACCAATTAATTCTTTCTTCCTGTATTATATCCTTACATACAATCTTTCTTTTACATATTACTACTATTGAAGTAACTACTTTTATGAATTCGGTGTTCACCTTGTTGTGCTAATAAGGTGCGGCAACTTGAACCGATGCATATATGTGCCTGTTTCTACGTTGTAGCTCGCTGACTGACTGTTAAATCATCCTGTTGGAATTGTAATTTGCAGAACAACAAATATCAGAGAGTTTCCCTTTATAGTTGCTCAAACAGTGCCGTTCTTTGTTGCGATCTTGGTTTTAAAAATTTTAATAGATGTTGGTAATACTTAAGATCCATAAAGAATTTAATACGAGAGACGATTACAACGCAAAATACAGAAAAGCAGAGATTCAAAATACTGGGCACTTTTGGGTTGATTAGGAGTACAAAAGTAATTTTAGCGAACATAAAATATTGACCTGAAAAACATTAAACAATGTTTTTGAGTGATAGCGCGTGAGGTGCACAAAACAGTCTGTACCAGAAGTTCCAAGTTTTATATTATGAATTATGAATAAGTTATTATCTCCATTTGTTCACATCCCAAGCTGTTATACATGAGAAAAATCAAGTAGCAACCATGTTTATCGACTGAATTTTAAGACTACTCACTAAGTTGGACAGCTGTCAGAATTATATTTTCGTATTATTCTGACTTTATACTGTGCATTATTTAAGAGGTCGATTAACCTACTTATCTTTTATTTTCAGATTTTTGTTTAACTACTAAGTAGTATGAGTGCTATCCGACCAGGCACTGCATCCCGTCTAAAATCAGCCCAAATACAAGGTAAAAGTGGTACTGCATGTCGTGTAACAGATGGCGCAAAGACGGGTGCCCGTGGTAGAACGCTTGGTGGGACAACTTTAAACACTATGGTATGTGTTGAAGATAGACCGATTACACAACAAGGTAATTTGTATATTATTTTGGTTATGCTGATTTAATAACAAACAAATAGGTTTAGGCGGGATTAAAAACCCAATTCGTAGACCTAAACGTCAGATTGAAGATAAGTCATACTTTCTGGGATTGTTAAGGGGAAAAATCAATGAAATAAACTCAGAAGTTGGGACTATAACACGTCAGTTAGTAGAAAAAGAGGAAGATAATGCTAGTTTTGTACAATATGAGCAAATGGCTGAGAAATTGGCGTATGAAATTAAAGAACTACAGGTAATTTATTAACTAACATAATGGTATTGTTAATCTGTGCTTATGAGAATTTATAGCAGGAAACACAAAAGTTAGCAAACGGAGGAAGAATGCAGTAATAACAAAACTATGCGTAAGCCTATTGGCAGGAAATTAAATCTATCATAAGGAAAACCACCAAATTGAAGTGATCAATGTGGATCATGAAATGCTATTGACTTGCTGTAATAATCTGATTTCTTACGATTCGTTGTGAATAAAAAACATGTTGATGAGTGTCAATATATTTCATATCGTTTACATTTCAAAGACGTTTTCTGTACTTGAACCATCCATGTTTCGCTCAGCTATTTATGTATTTTTGTATGAACTAATAATTCTAATAGAGATCCTAGCCATTCTGGCCTATATAATGGGATGAGTTACATTTTTAATCATTGTTAAGCGTCATATCGTTTATATCAAGCTGAAATGCGGCAAAAAACAGTGTCAAAATTGTTTTGGAAAATATTGAACGATTGTGTCCATACTACTATAACATTTAAGTTTCTATTAAAAATTTCCCTTTTTAAAATTATCACTTATCATTTACTCGAGCGATGAGTGGAGATTTCTGGCATTTGTAATAGGTTACATCGTGAAAATTACGTTATCTAGAGAACTGTTTGATGACAGGGAAAATTAGAGGATGCTTTCGTCTTACTTAGTTTTCAACTTGTACAACTATAATCGTGTGCAGGATCTATCTTGAAACCCTTTACAGTAAGCACTATACGTTTAGACTATTGAGTCGAAATTCAGTATTTCATATTTTTTTTACGTTTTGAGATGAGGCATAACACTAACCTAATGTTATGAATAAGTTACTGTATCATCTCTGATTTTATTGACCATATAGGTTTCAAATTACTATCAGAAATTGTGAGTATTAATGCCCAAAGTTCATCACCAATAAGCAAAAGACTATGATTTCTTTTGTGGATTATACAGATGTATTAATTCGAAAATATTTTGCATTTTATTTTACTAAAAAGATATATATTCATTTCTTTAAAATAATTTTTCAACAAGGGTGAATTAGGCGATTACAATACTCTCGTCGATAAAGCAACATTAGGCAATAATATAACAAGTATTGAAATGGATTTGGAAGATGTACGTGCTGCAAATGAACGAGCTGAACGGAATTTAGAAATGTTATTTGAAGATCGTCAAAGAAAAGAATCATCACTAAAATCATGTGAGCTAGAATTAAAACAAGTAAGCTGACTTTACTATTTTCCTTAATAAATTTAGAATATTTAGTTTTTTTAAATATCTGTCGATCTGTTTACTGAGTTGTATTGCAGTGATTTTCAATTAGTGTACAAAATTTCAGCAGTGAAAAAAGTTAAACTATCTTATTATTTCATGATCACTAGTAGTGAGACATTGGATGAGTTCTTTGAACAATTTAGTCATAATTTCGAATTTATAACTTCGAATAAACAACTAATTAAAACCAAGAATGGTTGGATAGTTTTTGTCCCACTGTGGGGGTCCTCTTAATCATGAACACGAAATTTTGGAAGGAGTTTAACCCAGGAACTTTAGGCGGCGTAGTGAGCACGACTATTTAGCGAACCCTAGTTTTCAATTTTTTGATCTGAGTCAAACGGTCACTATGTGGTCTAAAAACTCCAAGTTAGATTTCTATCAGATTTAAGGATGTGCAGTTCAGAGGACTTTCATACTGGAATAAAAAGCTATCAGTTACTTCTTGGTTTAGTTGAAGTCTGTACATGATGTTAGTTTTTTGTTGCCCTATATCTGAATCCAGTTATATCGTATGATGATTGTTATCGAAGTATACATCTTGGCTACCCTCGTACATAATTATTGACTTGGTTCACATTAAAGAATAGTGGAATAAAATACATCAGATATGAGAATGAATTTGAATTCGTATATTTTGTACACTCATTGATCAGAACAGACAATCAGAGAAACGAAGTGTAGATGGTGCGGAGGAGAGGGCGAAGCAAAGCCGATAATCTCGTTGCAAAACTGAAAAGGAAAGCAATATAGAGAAGGCCAGTGAGCCGGTTTGATTTAATCAAGCGTGACTCGATAACTATAGTCAAGCAAGAATAAATTACCCTATTCATTACATGAATAGGGTAAGTAAATAACGCATATACGCTCAAATAAAGGTAGCCAATGTTAATGTGCGAATAAGTGGCAATGTTAAATGTGACCGAAGAAGAATGAATAAATTGGTCTGCCCGGAAGCTAGAATAACCCATGTGGGATTGATGTAGTACCGGCTACTACAAGCTGTAAGTTGAGTATACTTCAAAAATGTCCTATAATAATTATTAATATGAAATAAAACTAAGCTCAAGATTTAGGAAAGTTGAAAACATGATACATTTCCATCGATTCCATCAATTCAAACAGATTTTACTTAATCTCTCCAACGACGGAATGCAATTAACTCCCAACTGAGAATTTTAGCACTGATTAAAGAATTTACATTATTAGTCTATGACTTGATAGACTAGTGTCTCAAGGTAATTATCATTAACAACAAATTTCATAAAGTATGTTACAACAAAATTCAGACCGTTGTTTTTTTTTTATTACGCATCGATGGTGTAAGGAATGCTCCCACTAACGATTCAACAAATGTACTAGTTACAATAAGATACCATTTTCAGTAGTAATGATATATGACTTTTATTTTGATGAAGAATTCGACTGTTTAATTACAAATTATGCATGATAATGTTTGTAATCATGAAACTCGATGTTGAAATGTAATTGTTTTAAATTTAAAGCAGTATTAAAACAGTGTAAGTTATATAAGGCATATTATTATTATTACTATCAACACTTTGTAGCTAGTGTTCTACACCATTCTATATTCATTTAAATTTGTTTGTGTATTGTCTTTTTCAAATTAATTGAATTAAGGAACAAGAAATGTCTGAAATAGTAATTGAAGAAATGGTTGATACAGAACGTGAACGTTATTTTAAATTAAAGGATTTAAATATTCATCTTCTGAATCAGTTAAGCGAAGGTCAAATGGAGTTAGAAAGATTGAATACAAGAAAAGCTGAACTTGAAGAAGAACTACTTACATCACCGGTAAATTTAAAAATAATTAATACTTGTAGTATGTTATAACTTGTGGCCTGTGCGCCCTGCTAATATATAACGCAACGATACCGCCAATTAGAGAGCAGTGACTTGCCGATCGGACCAGTGACGCGAAAAGCCGTACGAGCAGTCTAAAGTACTTATCGGTCCTGCTTTCCGCCTAGCCCAGCGAGTCATGTCCAGAAC